GCCCGAAACGTCAGTCTTCCTGCTCCTATGATGCTGCTTGGCCTGCTGTGTTCATCCAGCTCTACGTCTTGTTGTCTCATTACTTTGGTAGTTATGCTTTCTAATTTAGATCTGAACTGTTCAAAATCTTTCACCAGAACCCCTTTCTAGCTCTACCAAAGTTGCTGGTACTAATGAGAGAGATGATGACTGGATCGCTCTCCTCTATCTTCTTCTCCAGTGATTGGATCATTCGGAACAGAAACAGACCCTTCAGTCCAACCAGTCCATGCCGACCATAATCCTAAACTAAATCAATCCCATGTACCTAAGCTTGCTCCATATCCCTCCAAATATTTCTTAGTCATGTACTTAACCAAATGTCTTTTAAGAGCTGTAACTATAACCACATCCACCACTTTCTCTGGAAATTCATTCCACACATGAGCCACTCTCTGTAAAAAATCTGCCCTGGGGACATAATCTAACCCTGGTACCAGGTAGGAAGCACAGCCTTCAGGAGTCCTGGTCATGGTTGCAGAGCAGATTCACAGACTAGCTCTAGATTCCCCAGCCAGGGGAAACCTCATCACAGCACTTACACCACCATCGAGTTTTGCTTCAACACAATAAGGTTTATTAACTTAGCAGCAGCACACATTTCTTCACCACTTTAATGGGCTAATTCTGCACTTACCAATGATATTGGTAGAAGTACCCCCTGGACAGCCAACAGTGGAGAGACAGGGCCCATTGTTACCAGCACTGGACACAAAGATAACATTGTGTTTTAAAACTGCTTCATCAATCACCTTGCATATACGCCTGGAGGAAAGAAAACAAATAATAGAATCACACAACATCCAAGGCCTTTCAGTCTGTTGTATAGAGTAATAGAGTTACACAGCATGGAAAGAGACCCAAAGAAACTGCGGATGCTGTAAATCAGGAAAAAAAACAAAGTTGCTGGAAAAGCTCAGTAGTCTGGCAGCATCTGTGGAGGAGAAAACAGAGTTAACATTTCGGGTCCGGTGACCCTTCCTCAGAACTGAAGAGAGACCCTTTGGCCCACCTAGTCTATGCTGACCACGTTCCCAAACCAAACTAATCCTACTTGCCTCCGTTTGGCCCAAATCCCTCCAAACCTTTCCTATTCAGGTACTTATCCAAATGTCATTTAAATATTGTAACTGTACCTGCATCCACTTCCTCTAGCAATTCATTTCACATACGAACCACTATGTAAAAAAGATGCCCCTCATGTCCTTTTTAAATCTTCTCCTCTTACCTTAAAAAATATGACCCCTAGTTTTGAACTCTCCCACTCTAGGGAAAAGACCCTTGTCATTTACCATTTCTATGCCCTTTATGATTTTATAAACCTCATTAAGGTCACCCCTCAACTTCCTATACTCCAGTGAAAGGAGTCCCAGCCTATCCAGCTCACCTTTATAACTCAAACCTTCCATTCCCGGCAACATCCCAGTAAATCTTTTCTGAACCCTCTCCAATTTAATAATAACCTTCCTATAGCAGGGCGACCAGAACTATACGTAGTACTCCAGAAGAGATCTCACCCAATCCTGTACAACCTCAACATGACATCCCAACTCCTATTCTCAGAGGTCTGAGTCTGAGCAATGAAGGCAGGTGTGGTAAATGCCTTCTTAACCACCCTGTCTACATGTGTTAAAAATCTCAAAGAATTATATACCTGAACTCCTAGGTCTCTCTGTTCTACAACATTACCCAGGACCCTACCATTAACTGTATAAGTCTTGCCCTTGTTTGCTGTACCAAAATGCAATACCTTGCGTTTATCCAAATTAAACTCCACCTGCCACTCCTCAGCACATTGCATCTCTCCTGAAACAACACATTCTCCCCAGACCTTTCCCCACAGCCCTGTGTGATTGTAATCAATCTCCAATCCAAAGACACAGAGCGAAACACAGGATGTTCCAGCACCAGGAAGGCTCTTTTACCCATCAAGTCTAATTCAGCGATGGTCTACATAAACAGTTGTGTCTAGTTCCACTTTCCAAATACTTTAATATACTATTGCAACTGATCCCACCCTCCTGCTCATTCCCCATATTGTCTAATATACATTCCATCCAAATGCACTCCCTTTCTCACTCTCCATACTCTTTGTTATTCTATCTCGTCTAATCTCACTCCCTGTACAAGTTCATTTCAACTCATTCAAGTAAAAATTTACTTCCCAGATAATATTTTATGGTCTTGGCTTCAAAACAGATTTGCAGCAGAATGTTCCAGTTCTAACCGCTTGCTGTGTGAAAACAATGATCTCCTACCCTTTCTTTGGTGTTTCTGGTTATTACTTTCAATTTGTGGCCTCTCATAACCATCACACCAACCAGCAAAAGCAATCTTTCACTACATATCTCATCATAACTCTCAGTGACAACAGGCTCCACCGCTCTTTAATGGGGTGTGTAAGACTGTACACAATACTATAACAGCATGTCAACTAAGTTATTTCCAAGTTCAACAAGATCTCTTTGCTCATTTAATTTTTTCATCTAGATTACTAATTAGGGAACCACCTGTGGCTTTACCTTGGGGTGTATCAACAGCATTAATATTTTTAACTATTATTTTATCTGTGCAGCAGATACTATCCGAGATTCCTTTCCTTCTGCATGCTTTTTGACATCTTACCATTAAAGATGTCTCCCTTCTTTACTGCAATTCTGAATTTATTAAACTGAACAGATTAATAATGCCACTAATGCAAGAAAGGGAAAACTGACTCAGTAAGATGCTGATGCTCATGCCAGCATACCACAGAGAGATGTTTCTGGTTAATTGTGATTCTGCATGTTCCCTTGAGCCCTTTCTTCAGTTATGAAAACTTCAACCAGCTGCCAATTTGCTTTAATTAATTTATCCACAGCTCCCAAAACACTCAATTCTTCCGCTTCTTTAGCCCTCCATTCTAGAACAGTCAACTTAAGTCATTTACCTCACATGGGGGAATGTCGTGGTGTAGTGGGAATGGCACTTGACCAGTAATCTGGGGGGCCAGAGTAATCTCTGGATTCAAAACGCACCATGGCAGGTAAAATTTTAACTCCATTACTAAAATTTTGAAAGATAAACGTGGTCTCATTGATGCTACAGGAACTATCATCAATTTTTGTAAAAACCCATCTGGTTCACTCATACCCTTTAATGGAAGGAAATATGGTGTCCACACCCAGTCTGGCCTATGAGTCTTTCCAGCACAGCAATGTGGTTAACTCTTAACTGCCCTCTGAAATAGCAAACTACTCAACTCAAGGACTGGTGTCGCTAGCAATACCCAGATCCCAGAAAAGGAATTAATTTTAAAAAGTTCAATTCGAACAGCTCGCAGTTTTTCTGTGCAATGCTTTTGGACATCAAAGGAGCAACTTAAACCGTTTAGATTGTTCCACAATGTTTGGGCATGTGCATTTAGTGAGTCTTTATTAAAAATAATTTCTGGAGAATGGAATATTTTCTACTTCTGACAACCAGCCTGGCAGTAACTTCTATGATACTCTCTTGACCCTTCAATTTAATGCCCTTGACAAATTGGCAAACAGACAACTCAAAAACTTAATTGTTAAGTTTATTAATATGATCATCATGCCTGTTTTCCATTATGTATTATCAATTTGGATACAACATTTGACTTCAACGGCAAAAAACTCATCACATTTCCACTTCAGTTCTGAAGAAAAGTCAAATTGGATTCAAAACATAGAAACAGATTCAATCTCTGCAGATACTGCCAGACATGCTGAATTTCTCCAGTATGTTTTATTTTATAATAGTATTAGGCTTTCTGTAATTTGCTCAAACTATGTGCTTTGACTCCAATAGTCGACTATAGTACAGTCCCTAGTGCACCAAGACGAGGATTCCATTTCTTACCCTGGTTAGTCTTCTTTAATGATCCTGTTAACCTGTGTTGTCTAGATTTTATACAGGTTTGTGCTATACACATGTCATGATTGAGAATGCCTGGAGTCAGGGTGTGGGCGTCTTCGTCACAAGAATAAGAGCAAGTGGGCTGAAAATCATTCACAAATCGAGATTATCCTTCCAGTGGGATGGCTAGGCTAGCATTAATTGCCCGGGAGAAGGTGGTGGTGATCTACCCCCTTGAACTGCTGCAATCGTCGGGTTGTATGGGACATCCACAGTGCTGTTAAAAAGGGAGCCCACAAATTGTAATGGTTTAATGACCAAATATTGGTGTTTCTGTATGTTGATTGAGCAATAAATATTGATCGAAACATCTGAAAGGGCAAACAGGGCACTGGTTTGATCACTCAGCTAAAAGTTCAGATCATGGAACAGGGTACAATGAAAATTCACATCAACCATAAAAACAATCATAGTTACATCAAGCCATGTGAACAATTGAGTTTGCGCACTGAATAAAAATGTTTAAAAACATGTTCTAAAAGTGGTTTCTAGCAATATCAAAGCTTTTGAAAGGTAATTGAGATGTATTTGGCAAATTGACAATAAGGAGTATAAACTCAATACCAGCAAAATAATAAGCAAACAAGTCACCATAATGCTTTCTCACCCCTACCGAGAATTATTAAAATGCTATTGCAATATCTTAACAAAAGGTGTGACTGTGGCAGACACTGGCACATCTGTTAGAAGAAATCGCTCAGCACATAAATGGAAATCATAGCATCATAGAATAATATCACACAGAAGGAGGCTACTGAATCAGTTTGGCTCTTACAAATGCATTCCAGTTAATCCCACTGACTGGCTCTTTTCCCACAACCCCTCAATTTTATTCTGTTCAAAATATTTATCCAATTCCACTTCGAAGGCAACCACTGAATCTGTACCTAGCACCCTATCTGGCAGTGGACTCCAAACTCAGTTAAGGGTTTACCTCAAGTGCTCTCTGGTTATCAATCCTTCAGAACCACTGGAAACACTTTCTTTTCATTATTGTATCTAAACCCTTTATGAGTATACTTATTGTTATCAAATTTCCTCCGACCCTTCTCTGCTCTTGGGAAAATAACCCAGCCTCTCCAGCCCAAGCCTTCACCACACTGCAGGGCGCACACTCACTATCTGTGGGCTCTCAGACCCTGTGGCCGGTGTTTGGCAATGCTGCGGTGGTTTTATTCCCATCAAAGAATAGGGCCAAGAAAAAAATCATCAAATATTTTAAATTAATTCAGCTCAAATCCTGCTATCACATTTTCATAGCACTAAAATGCATCCATCCCACTCCCGACCCTTTACTGTCTCCCTCTTATTCACTGCCCTGTTGTTTACTGTGCTTCAAAAAGTGTTGGGATCAGTGTTGGGAGCAAACACAAACCCATTTGGATGAGCCATCTCTCTACTATTTCTATAATTCTATAAGTCAGCTTAATACTGACAGTTAAACACATTGCACGACTATTGAAATAAAAAGTAAATCAAATTGTAAGCCTGGTGAAAGGGATACGACCAGACAGAAACTCTCTCAGTAAAGGCAAATCTCCAAGGATACAAGTAATAATCAACAGGGTTGGCTTCTTTCCAAAAACATCAGCAAAAGTTAATGCTATTCACGTTTGTTTTCCTTCCGCCCTTTTTTGCATAAAGCCTGACAGGTGTTGCCGGGGGAAGGCAGCTTTATTTTCCTCACAATTATTAATTTGTCAATCTGCTGAAAACACTGGTACCAATAAACCAGGATATTCAGTTCCCAATTTGCAATTAAAATTTTAGTGAATTGAATAAACTTGAAAAACAATGCCAATAAAAGCTAACAAATTGGGCCGCTTAATTCTTGCAACTTGCCAAGGTTTCCTGGCGTAATAAATTCAATATAAAATGACTGTGACAAACAAAACTTGCATCTATAAGTTGGACGTCATAAATATAAGACCATAAGATATAGGAGCAGAATTAGGCCATTTGGCCAATCAAGTCTGCTCTATCATTCAATCACGACTGATAGGTTTCTCAACTTCATTCTCCTGCCTTCTCCCCACAACCCTTCAATAATCAAGAACCTATCTTGAATACACTCCATGACCTGGCCTCCACAGCCCTCTGTAGCAACACGTGCCACAGATTCACCACCCTCTGGCTGAAGAAATCCCTCCTCATCTCAGTTCTTAAAGGTTGTCCCTTCACCCTAAGGCTGTGCCCTCAGGTCCTCGTCTCTCCTATTAGTGGAAAGATCATTTTCCTGTCTTCTCTATCCAGGGCCCTCTCAGTCACTAGTGATTCCAATAAAAAAAAGCAGAAAAAGATGATTTACCCACAGAGTAGTGAGAATGTGGAACTTGCGAATAAATAATGTTGGGGACTGTGCCGCTGACTGTACTGACTACAGCCTAAAGTGGGAGAGTTTCCACAACTAAGAAAGGTCACTGAATTCTCCTGCAATGACAGCTGATTAGGTACCAGTGGGATTTCTGCTGGAATAAGGTCTCCATATCAGGAAGTCCCACCAAGGCATCAGCCATAAACTCATAGGATAGAGGATCGCTAATGAAGAAAGGTAAGTCTTGTTTGGTAATGATGGTGGTGGTGGTGGAAGGGGGATTTCTGGAGTTTGGAGTCATGGGAAGATGGAGGTGTATGGGGTTGGAAGTGAGACGGGGGCAGGGGGCGGTGGTGGCTGAAGACCAGTCCCTCAGACATATACAGATAAGGGAAGCCCCTACCACCTTCTTGTGAAAGGACAGTCTACAGACACTGGTTAACAGTTGGGTCGGGTGACTCTTTCATCCCACCAGGAGCTGAAATGATGGTAACCTGTGTGGGCAGAGGCCCTCAAACAGCCATTAACTGACCACTTAAGGGCTCAATTGGTGATAAGAGGGGAAGGTAGAGCTTGGGTCTTTCCACCTAGAACTTCATTCACACAAAGCTCAGGGAAGTGGTGAGGGTCTAGTCTACCTAATAAAGCTCACTTCTCGCTCCCAGGTCTGGAAGATTCCACCCAAAGGCAATTGTTGTGAACACAGACGGATAAATGTAAGGGGAAGATAGATATGCACATGGGGGAGAAAGACATAGAAGTAAATGCTGGTATGGTGATGTGAAAAAGGGTGGAAGGATTTGGGTGTAGAGTTCAGACCAGTTGGGCCAAATAGCCTGTTTGTGTGCTATGAATTCCTGGTACATGCAACTGCAAGATACAATGATACAAATCCAATGAAGGAACCGAAAAACAATGAGAGGATTCTGCTAGCACACCTATAAATCCTTTCATACTTTGTTCCACATAGCACACAGTTTATCAGTGAACAAGGTTTCTGCAGCTGTGACCAACAGACAAGGCTGTTCACAAAATGAACTCCACAGGATCCAGTTTACACCACTGTAAGACAGGATGGATTTCTACGTACCCTGCATTAGTCCAGTGAGACGCTTCCCCATAACTGTAATTTACAAGGTCACACTTGTAATTGATCACTTCAATCATCTGGAAATAGAAGATAAAATACTCGTGTTTAATTGCAGCTGACAAGATTTTATTTGATGTTCCTTCATGTATTCACACAGTGAAAACAACATTGCACAAAGGTAATGAAAAGCTACTTCAACTGCAGCACTGATGTAGAACCTGCCTCTCATGGAATAGTCTCTTCAGCCTTGAACAAAAGTGCACCATATGACACTACTCCATTTATAATGGATCCGATTTGCTGTATGTCCATCATCCATAACTGATAGTAAGACGTTGATTGTGGGGGAAATTAGTAATGGCAATACCACTGAAGATTAAGGGGCCGTGGTTAGATCTTATCATTGGAGATGGTCATTGCTTGGCACATGTGTGCCACTTATCAAGCCAAGCCTGTATGTTGGCCAAGTCTTGCTCCACATGGAAGCAGGCTGCTTCAGTTTCTGAGGAGATGCTAATGATGATGAATATTGCACAGCGTACATCCCCACTTCTGACCTTCTGATGGAGGGAAGGTGATTAGTGAAGCAGATGAAGATGATTCCACTGAGGATATTATCCTGAGGAATTTATGCACAGATGTTATGGAACTGAGATGATTGACTTCCAACAACCACAAACATCATCTTTTGCGCACAGTACACTCCAACCAGTGAGCAATGCCCCGATTCACACTGACTTAATTTTATTTGGACTCAATGATGCTACACTCAATCAAATGCTGCCTTGATATCAAGGGCAGCTCCTCTCATTACATCACAATAGAGTTAACAAGACGACCATCAGATACAAAACTAATACTGATACAATGGAGACATTCTTACAAAGGGCAAACCTTTGATTGACTACATAAGCTTTAAGAAACATTTTGAAGGGGTAACATAAAGAGGTTTAGAGGAGGAGCTCAGGGCCTAGCTGGCTAAAGACAAGGCTGTTTATGGTTGATCAAAGAAAGTAGCAATAAAAGAGACCAGAACCAAAAAGGATGAGAATATTTTAGGCTTGATGTCGTTGAGAATGTTACAGAGATAGGAAGGTGATTTAGGGAATCCAACTCAAAGACACAAATATTGAACTTGAGGTGTTGGTAGCACTTGAGATTATATAAATAGGCAAATATAATGATATTGGATGAATGGCACTTGGAGTGAGATTGGATTTGGGCAGCAGAATTCTGATGCGCTCAAGACTGTGGGAAGTGGAAGACAGGAGGCTAATCAGGATAATGTTGGAGAAAAAAGTCAAATGGGAACTTTAATTACGTAATGTAGCGCAGCTCGGACATCAGAAATCAGCTCTAAGTGGAGTAGCCCACAAGCAATGTAACACTGGGCTGGAAAGTGCTTCATTTCACTTTAGCACAGAGACTGTAAATCTTCAATCATCTAAGGGGAGAGACAAACAACGGATGAAACATTTGTTCCAGTCTCTTATGAAACAACATTGTACAGAGCTGACTGAATACACTATCATGCAACTGGAACAAAGTTTTTTTCTACAATAATAAACTGAAGTCAATGAACAGAATAATACTTACTGCACGGATTAAGCTGGTCCCTGTTTCCATAGTGTTTAACCTGGAGTCGGCCACCTTGATGGCCAATATCTGGGCACCGGGAGCCACACCATTCCTTTCTGGTTCACCTGGGAAGTATCCAGCTGCAATCGCAGCTACATGTGTTCCATGGGACCCTGCGTATATACAATGGACACCCTTTTCATAGAATGATACAGCAGAGGAGAAGGCCATTCAGCCCAGCTGCCTACACTAGCTGTTTGAAAAAGCTACCCAATCAATTTTCCCATGGCCCTGGATTCTTTTCTTCTATTTCTTTCAATTGTCTAGCAAACGTCTTTCTGAAAATTACTACTGATTCCTCCCATTTAGAAAGTACTGTGTAGATGATAACAATTCGCTATATTGAAAATAAACCTTCACTTCTCTTTGGTAATTCTAAAACTTTACTCAGAATATTTGTAATTTATTTTCTCCAGATTAAAAACATAGATCCAGCTTATTTCTTTGCTTTACTTCTCAAAATTAGACAATACGCATTTTCTGTCCAGTCCCACACTTACCTGCATTAGTGACGATGCAGAGAGTGTTCCCATCATCATAGACGTTGATAGAGTAATTCAGCATTTCAGATTTTCCCATCTGTGCATATTCATGTTCTTCTCTGTAGTTCTCGAGTACACTGCAGCTGCTCAGGTCTCCACATTCACTGGTGTCAACACAGGCTCTACAAAGACAGAAAGAAGAGTGGTGTATAAAGGGTAAATGTCACGCATGTGATGCCCCATGTTATGTTGTAACTGCAGAACGTTTGATGGTGACTATGCTATTGCACTGATGTTGCATAGGTGATTGCAACTGGAATGTGGAGCCTGGACAGTGGACGCTGGACCCTAAACACACAGCACAAAATCAGACCACTCTGTCCACTGTGCCTGTGGCAGCTCTTTGAAAGAGAAATAAAAATGACTGATCTATCACTGGGAAAACATCATCAATTCTATTGGAAAGGATGTAATAGCAGAGTATTTAGAAATAACTAATATCATCAAGCAGAGTAAGCATGGCTTCATGATGGGAAAATCATGCCTAACAAATATATTACAATTCCTTAAGGAGGTAAGTGTTGAAGTAATATATTCAAATTTCTGAAAGGCATTTGATAAGGTACCACACATGAGACTACTGAATAAGATTGGAGCCCATGGTGTTTTAGGTGGTACATTAGCACGGAGAAAGCATTGGTAAACCAATGAAAGTCAGAGATTTGGGTTAAGAGGAGCATTTTCATGATAGCAACCTGTAACAGGGATCAGTGCTCAGACCACAATTATTTGCAAAACATATCAATGACTTGAATGACAGAAGCGAACGCACTTTCACTAAGTCTGTGGATGGCACAAAAAGGGCAACTGGTAAGAATGGCACAAAGAGTCTACAGATGGATACAGACAATTTAAATGAGTGGATGAAAACTTGGCAGATGGAATACAATGTAGGAAAATGTAAGGTTATGCATTTTAGCAGGAAGCATAGAGGAGCTGAATAATATATAAAAGGAGAAAGACTCCAAAGAGTTGAAGCACAAAGGAACCTGGAAGTCCTTGTGCATAAATCACAAAAAGCTAGGATCCAAATTCAGCAGGTAATAGGGATGGCAAATGGAATATGAGTCTCTATTTCAAAGGGAATGGAATATAAAAATAGGGAGGTCTTACTAAAACTACATAAGACACTCATCAGACCACACTTGAAATACTGTGAATAGTTTTGATCCCCTTGTCTAAGGAAAGGTTTACTGGTATTAGAGGCATTCCAAAGCAGATTCATGAAGTTGATCCCTGGTAAGGAGGAGAGGAGAGACTGGGCTTGTACTCATTACAGTTAGGAAGAATGAGAGGTGACCTTATTGAAACATACAAGATTCTAAGGTGAATCAATAGGGTAGATGCAGAAACATTGTTTCCCCTTGTCTAGGATCAGAGGGAATATTCTCAGAATAAGAGATCACTCAAGTAGGACAGAGATAAAGAAGAATTTTTGTTTTGCAGAGATTTTGAGTCTATGGAATTCTTCACCGCAGAGGGTTGTTGAGGCTGGGTAGTTAAATTCACCTTTCCCGTCCTTATTTATTCAGAAAATGATACATTTTACATCTCTACTTCTCCTTCGCACCATTAGGAATCCCTGTGTCTTTGCCTCTGGCAGCTCTCACAATCTGTTCCACTTCCTTCTCTGCTTCCTCCGTCTTCAGCATAGAATTTATTTTACAATGTCTTTCAGTTCTGAAGAAGCCAGCTTGGACATGAAACATCAACTGTTTTTCTCACACCACAGATGCTGTCAGTCCTAAGACCATAAAGTAGTAGGAACACGAGTAGGCCATTCAGCCCCTCAATCATGCTCCTCCATTTAACAGGATTATGGCTGATCTAACATTCTTTGTGTCCACTTTCCTGAATTTTCCCTGCAATCCTAATCAAGAATCTCTTGAACTCAGCCTTTAATATGCACAAGGACTCTGCCCCCATAGTAGATCTGCTGAGTCTCTCCAGCACTTCCTCTGTTTTTTAGGTATATTTAAGGCCAAGAGAAGCAGATATTTAAACATCAGGGGTTATGGAAAAAAAGGCAATAAAGTGGAGGTGAAGATTATCAGATTAACCATGATTACATTGAATGGTACTGCAGACTCGATAGGCTGAATGACATGCTCTGTTCTATGGTCTATTGCTTTCCAAATTTCACATTATCATTGCTCCCGTGAATCCATTACCTAGCAAGAAGTTAGAAACAACACAGTATGGAACTGGAGGAACACAGCAGGCCAGGCAGCATCAGAGGAGCAGGAAAGTTGACGTTTCGGGTTGGGACCCTTCTTCAGAAATGAGGGAAGGGGAAGCTGGGAAATATATAGAGAGAGAGAGGAGGGGTGGAGCTGGGGAAGATAGGTGGATGCAGGTAGAGAGTGGTGGGGATTGGTCAGTGGGGTGGCTGAGGCAGATAGAGAGAAGGTGGACAGGTTGTGTGAAGTCAAGTAGGTGGAGATGAGAGGGAGGGTTGGACATAGGATGAGGCTGGTGATGGGGAGATTTTAAAAACTGGTGAATTCCATGTTTATGCCATTGGGCTGTAGACTCCCGAGGTGGAATATGAGGTGCTGTCCCTCCAATTTGCGGGTGGTGTCATTGTGACAATGGAGGCGGCCCAGAATGGACATGTCACCCAGGGAGTGGGAGGGGGAGTTAAAATGGTTGGCGACTGGAAGGTGTTGTCGTTTGTCGCATACAAAGTGCAGATGCTCATGCGGGTGGTGTCACAATGTGGAAAAAAAACTTCATTCATGTCCGTCCTAAAAGGGTAACTCCAAATCACATGTAAAAATACGTAAGGATACAATTAGTTAAGTAGGCAGGTGGGACTAGTTCAGTTTGGGATTATAAAATCCTAAAGAACAGTGGATGCTGTAAATCAGGAACAAAAACAGAAGTTGCTGGAAAAGCTCAGCAAGTCTGGCAGTATCTGTGCAGACAAATCAGAGTTAACGTTTCGGATCTGGTGACCCTTCTTCAAAAATGATGGCAGCTAGCAAAATGTCAATTTATATGCAGAAGATAGGCAGGGGCAGGATGTAAGGAGTAAATGATAGGTGGAGATAGAGCCCAAAGAGAGAGGACAACAGTGGTTAACACTGCTGCCTCACAGCGTGAGGGATCCGGGTTCGATTCCAACCTCGGGCAACTGTCTGTGTGGAGTCTGCATATTCTCCCGGTGTGGGTTTCCTCCCACAGTCCAAAAATGTGCAAGGTAGATAGACTGACCATGCTAAATAGCCCACAGTGTCCAAGGATGTGTACGTTAGGTGCATTAGCGACGGGAAATGCAGGGTAACAGGGATAGGGAAGGGGGTTGGGTCTGGGTGGGACTCTCTTCGGAGGGTCAGTGTGGACTTGTTGGGCTGGATGGCCTAATTCCACTCTGTAGGGATTCTATGATTCTATAATTTCTATGATAAAAGGAGTTGATAACAATCTGGCTAGGAGGGAGAATATCTGTTAATGGAGACTGTCAGTGACTAATAATAGGTAGTGTGTAATGGCAGAATACGTGATAACAAGGCCTGGTGTGTGGGGTAGGGGACTAGGACATGGGAAAGTTTAGGTTCTAAAATTATTGAACTTGAGATTGAGTCCAGAGGGATGCAGGGTCTCCAAGCGAAAATAAGGTGTTGTTCTACCAGCTTGCGCTGAGCTTGGCTAGAACACTGCACCAAGCCTGAGACAGAGATGTTGGCCAGGGAACAGGGTGGTGTGTTAAAGCTCAGGGTCTTTTCTGCGAGCAGAGCATAAATGTTCTGTGAAGCGGTCAGCCAGTCGACACTTTGTTTCCCCTGTGTAGAGGAGACCACATTGTGAGCAACGAATGCAGTAGACTAGATTCTGGGAAGTGCAGGTGAAGTGTTGCTTCACCTGGAAAGTATGTTTTGGCCCTTGGATACTGGGGATGGAGGAGGTAAATGGGCAGGTGTTGCAGGGGAAGGTGGCATGGGGCAGTGGGAGGGGTTTTAGGGGTGAAGGAAGCGTGGACCAGGGTGTCCCAGAGGGAATGGTCCGTGCGGAAGGTGGACAAGGGAGGGGAGGGGAATATGTGTCTGGTGGTGGCATCTCACTGGAGGTGGCAGAAATAGCATCTGATGATCTTCTGGATGTGGATGCTGGTGGGATGGTAGGCGACGATACGGGGAAGCCTATCGCTGTTGCGGGATAGAAGATAGGGTTGGGGGCAGAAGTGCAGGAGATGGGTCAGACCTAGTCAAGCGTCCTGTCGACAACGGTGCTGGAGAATCCTTGGATGAGGAAGAAGGTGGACATTTCGGAGGCTCCCTTGTTGAAGTTGGCCTCGTCTGAACATACAAGATGGAGGAACTGTCAGAATGAAATGGAGTCTTTACAGGAAGCAGGGTGCGAGGATGTGTAGTCAAAGTAACTTTTGGAGTCAATGGGTTTATGGTGGATATTAATAGCCAGTCTATTTCCAGAAATGGTAACAGAGATGTCGAGGAAAGGAAGGGAAGAGTCAGATATACACCAGGTGAAAGTGAGGGCAGGGTAGAAATTGGAAGCAAAATCGATTAACTTTTCCAATTCTGGGCAAGCGAGGGAAGCAGCACCGATGGTATCATTGATATATTGGAGAAAGAATTGTGGGTGGGAGCTAGAATGGGACTGGAACAAGGAATGTTACACACACCCCACGAAGAGACAGGCATAACTAGGGCCCATACAGATACCCATGGCCACCCCTCTCTGATCTGAAGAAAAGGAGAAAGTTAAAAGAGAAGTTGTTGAGGGTGAGGATGAGTTCTGCCAAGTCGAGAAGGGCGGTGGTGGGTGGGGATGGTTCAGGCCTTTGCTCCAGGAAGAAGCGGAGAGGCCTGAGGCCCTCCTGGTTGAGGATGGATGTGTAAAGGGATTGTACATCCATGGTAAAGAGGAGGTGGTTGGAGCCTGCAAACTGGAAACTTTGAAACTGGCTTAAAGCGTCAGAGGAATCATGGATGTACGTGGGCAGGGACTGGACTGAGGGAGAGAAGACTGAGTCAAGGTAGGAAGCGATCAGTTCTGTGGGGCAGGAGCAGGCTGACACAATGGGTCTGCCCAGACAGTCCTCCATTTAACAGGATTACGGCTGATCTAACACTCTTTGTGTCCACTTTCCTGAATTTTCCCTGTAATCCTAATCAAGAATCTCTTGAATTCAGCCTTTAATATGCACAAGGACTCTGCCCCCATAGTAGATCTGCTGAATCTCTCCAGCACTTCCTCTACTTTTTTTTAAGTATATTTAAGGCCAAGAGAAGCAGATATTTAAACACGAAGGGCATCAGGGGTTATAGAAAAAAAGGCAGTAAAGGGGAGGTGAAGATTATCAGATTAACCATGATTACATTGAATGGTACTGCAGACTCGACAGGCAGAATGACATGTTCTGTTTGTGGATTTTTGGAAGGAGGTAGAAGTGAGCTGTGCAGGTCTGGGGGACTATCAGCTTGGAGGCAGTGGCAGGAAGATCACCAGATGAAATAAGGTCGGTTTCTGGAGTCGATACAATGGCCTGATATGCCACGGTGGAGGTCATAATCCAGGGGAAGATAGGAGGAGGTATCTGACAGCTACGGTCGAAGCTCAAACCTGGCAAACCCAGAAACACTCACTGTCCCATAGACCCCTTTGCAGAGTTCAAACACTCTCCCTCCACCTGGACCTTTCCCTCTGGCCTCTTACCTGCACTCGATCTGTTCATTGAGAACTGTCGACATGACATTGGTTGCCTCAATTTCTCCGCCCCCTTCACCCAATCTAACCTATCTCCCTCCAAACACTTAAATCTAAGTCTGACTTTGTTATTGAGCCTGCTGATAAGGGTGATGCAGTCGTAGTCTGGCATACTGCCCTCTACTTTGCAAAGGCTGAGCTAGTTTCAGAATTTGCAGTTTGCAAGCTCCAGCCACCGCCTCTTTACCATGGACGTGCAATCCCTTTACACGTCCATCCCCAACCAGGATGGTCTTACGGCACTCCGCTTCTTCCTGGAGCGAAGGCCTGAACCATCTCCAACCACCGCCACCACCACCACCACCCTCCTCGGCTTGGCTGAGCTCATCCTCACCCTCAACAACTTCACTTTTAACTTTCTCCTTTTCTGCAGATCAGAGAGGGGTGGCCATGGGTACCTGCATGGGCCCCAGTTATACCTGTCTCTTCGTGGGGTGTGTGTAACATTCCTTGTTCCAGTCCCATTCTGGCCCTCACCCCAACTCTGCACAACTTTGCAGAGCAAAGATTTAACAAGCAGTCACAACATTTCACACAGTTCCTGCCTCCTTTTGGAACTACAGCTAGATTGCTTCAATAATACACAAAGACTTACTTTGCTTCCAAATCAATTTCTGCACTTCGTTGCAATCATCATCAGATGCACGTTGGAACTGACCGTCATTGTGTATTTTATAGGTAAAGAAAGAATTGATTCTTCCACGTCATTGCTTAGAATAAGTACCTGATCAATACATTTTTCATTATGACGCAGGCTCACTTTTTTAAAAAAATCACACAATTGATCTTAGGTGGTTAACTATCTGTCAGAAATTGTCACAGGTAAAAGTTGTTATCCATTATATCCAAAGCTGAAAGATTGACACTAAATTTACCTCCAAGTCTTTCCATCATGCCAAACCAAGCAATCATAGACAGGTCCAAGGTCAGAGTATTTCTTCTCCAAAAGATCCAACTGATCAACTTGGCACTGAAGATCTTCCAGTACCAATTTCTCTTCCTGTTGGAAAGTTCAATTGAAAGAAAACAATGTTAACACCTTATCTAACACCAAAGAGTCAAAATACAGAAGGAAGATAGAGGTGACATGGTGCAATGAGAACAATCTCTCTCTCAATGTCGGCAAAACTAAAGAACTGATCATCGACTTCAGAAAGAAAGGAGGAGAGCATGCCTCCATCTACGCCAACAGAACTGAGGTTGAGAAGGTAGATTGCGTCAAGTTCCTCAGAGTGACAATAACTGATGACCTATCCTGGTCTTCCCACGTAGACGCGACAGTCAAGAAGGCACAACAACGCTTCTTCTTCCTCAGGTGTCTCAGGATATTTGGCATGTCCATAAGGTCCACACCAACTTCTACAGATGCACCATTGAAAGCATACTGTCCGGGTGCATAACGGCCTGGTACGGCAACTGCTATTCTGTAAGAAACTACAGAAGGTGGTGTGCACAGTTCAGACCATCATGGAAGCCAACTTTCCATCCACGAACTCTATTTACACGGTTCGCTGCCGCGGAAAGGCAGCCAACATCATCAAAGACCTATCACACCCTGGTAATGCACTCCTACAATCTCTTCCATCAGGTAATAGATACAGAAGCCCGAACACATGCATGAGCAGGTTCAGAAATAGCTTCTTTCTGGCCGTTATCAGACTGTTGAATGGACTCTAACCTCAAATAATGTAACCTGCATGCCTTTAAGTCTTTTTGATCTGTACATCCTTTGCTGGCTGCGATCTGCCTGTCTACTGCTCCTAAACAAAGCTTTTCACTGTATTTCGGTACAATAAATCAATCAATTAAAGAGTGAAGGAATGATATCAGGAACTTCAGCAAATATGAAGATTGAAAGAGCTGGGATTGTTTCCCATAGGACAGGAAAAGATAGGAAAGACAGGAGGTTAGGACGAGATAGTAATAAGATGTTCAGAATTATTAAAAATTTTGAAAGAATAAGTGAGGTGTGACTGTCTAGTCAGAGGTAAATGGGTCAGTACCCGAAAGTCACAAATTTAAGATTCAGGTAGTTGGTAAAGGAACCAGAAGGGAAATGGGGATATTTTTCTCGATTAAGACAAGTTGGTGTGACTTGGGCTGCTTTGCTTGAAATCTGTTGGAGATATATTCAATACCTACTTAACAAATAATTGTATAAATGATTGAGAGAAAAAGCCAACAGGACAAATTGGATAGCTGTTGCCAAGACAGGGCACTGGCACTTTGGGCTGAACAGCTTATTTCATGCCGTTAGATTCTATAACCAGCTACAATTACAGAATACACAAGGAAAGAGTATATTCTTCATTTGTTAATGATAGCCTGGCTAACAGAGGCTGTCTATTCTGATGCTGCAGTGAGCACAAGTCTGGTTTCATTGGTTCTTATACTTGCAATTTGTTAGCAATGCCCAATATCATTTTGGTTAAGCGACAGTGCCTGGTTAGTGGAATCTAGAGTTAACATTGCCCGTCACCTACCCCTAAGTATTCCAAGCAAGTCCAGATCACAGAAGGAACATCCAGTTACAATTTTTTCATCATTGTGTTAGAGGACTAACTGTATTGAGAAACTGAGGAGTCACAGAGGCCTAATCCTTGACCAGATCCAAGAATAATTACCATTTAATGCAACAAAAGTGCTAAAGGTTAACTGGTATAAAATTTATAATAGAAAAGTCACCATTGTCTCAGACAACCCACAGGGCTGCTCTCTCGTTAGAGAGATGACTGGCGATGAGTTTCACCTGAAATATCACCATACCTCATGGTGACCTCAGCCAGAGGGGGAAATGAACCCACGCTGCTGGCGTCACTCTGCATCGCAAAACAGTCGTCTAGACAATTAAGCTATCCTGCCCCCTAAGAAAAGTCGATGATGTAAAGAAATGAGGAATTCGGTGTGATTTAGAATGAAGGGAGTGAAGATGTTGTTTGGATATATTTGCTGTCTTGAAAAGAAGGCTCGGACATCAGAAAGAAGTCAGTGAGTCAGAATGTTGTCAGGTCTAGAGACTTGGCCACATAATCTTGGCTGACTATCCAATTTAAAAAAGGCGTTCACATATAAAATCAAAGACCTAGGTGAATACAGTAAATCAAAATAATGCACAATCTGTATAGCAAAATTCTAGGATGGGTTGGATTCAACCTCAAGACATGTTAGAAATTCTGAAAATCCTTGCTCAATGACTAAGTTTGTAATTATTTATTGAATGAAGTGCCACATTCAGCTCTGCTTAATGACTAACTGATTTATTAACTGTAGCTTAATTCTGTCTTTATGTCTATAAATTAGTTCTGAGCGCACTCAATTTTGGGATAGATCAGGCATTAAATTGATGGCACAACAGAAATGCACTGGTTCCAGAGATAAATGTACATCCTACTCAAGGTTCCGCAACCAACTTGTAGTAACTGCTGTACAATAGATGGAGCCAACAGCTTGAGTAAGGCTAAACCAAATCTCACTGCGATATCAAACCCAACCATTGCCAGCTCATAGACTGGTATTTGTAACAAAACATAAGTTTGCACATGTATGCCAATTGCAAAGTTTGCGCCCAAGCAAAGAAAGCCAAATGTAATGCCTGCTTTAATTTCACCTACGGTTCAGAAACTCCTCTGCATACATGAACAGAGATGACTGGGCTAGTCATGTAAAAGAGAACAACTGTTTAAATGCTGCTAATTTCACCAGGTGACATCTGATTCATCACTCTTGCAAATGGTATAGATTAAATGTGTAAGGAGTCTTTGCAGGGAGCAACATGCTGAAAGAAACAGCATTTGTCTTTGAAATCTTTGGCACATTAAACACTCTTGATGATTCTGCTATGCAACATGTCTGCAACTTGTGCATATAAATAGCAGTAACTGACTCCAACCTGTGTTCTCTCCTCAACACACTGCAATACTGCCAGCATATATTTTGTATGGGGGCAGGCAGGATCCGCATACAGGCCAGATGAAAATGGGAAATAAAAAGTACTTAATTACCTACAGCTGAACAGTCATTGCCAGCAATATCTCCACACTGCTACATGATTCAATCCAAAGAGAGGGCGTTGAGAAAGCAAAGACTTTTTCTTTCTTTACATATGTTTATGGTGTGAAATATTGAACACATCAACCAAACCTGGAAAAATTCTCTCCACATCTGGGATCAAATTACTGTACAGAAGGACAACATTCAGGGTCACACTCTTTGAAAGGGCTATCCAATTAGTACCCAGGAATATAGGAAATAGGAGCAGGACTGGGCCATCCAGCCCACTGTGCCATCTAACATGATCCTGGCTGATCCTATCCTGGTCTCAACTCCACTTTGCCACCTGCTACTCATAACCTTTTATCCTACTTTTCATCAGAAACAGATCTATTTCTTTCTTGAAACTATTTATTGATTCTGCCTTTACTTCACTCTAGGGCAGTGAGTTCCACAGATTCACAATCCTCTGAGGGAAATAGTTTCTCCTCATTTCAGCTTTGAATGTACTTCCTCTCACTCTATGTCTAGGACCACATGTTCAAGACTGTCCCAAAATGAAGAACATCTGTTCAACATCCACCTTGTCAATACCCTTTAGCATTTTATATACCTCAATCAGACCCCTCCCCTTATTCTTCTGGGCTTCAGCGAGTACAAGCCCAAGCTATTCAACCACTCCTCATACGACAGCCCTTTCATCTCTGGAATCAATCTGGTGAAGCTCCTTTCAACTGCCTCCAGCATCACCACATCCTTGCTCAAGTAAGCAAATCAAAAGTGGACAACTATCTCTGCTGCTACCTCCTTTAATACTCTAGGGGGCAGGCCGTCAGGCCCTGGGGACTTATCTGCCTTTAACAGCATCAGTTTATTTAATACCTTCTCCCAATAGTTATAGTAATTTCACAGAGTTCCTCTGTAGTAACTTCAGTTTTTGGAAAGAAATTATTATCTTCGACTGTGAAAATAGAGACACAATATTGGTTTAGTACCTCTGCCATTTTTGAGTTTCCCATTTATTACCTCACCATTTTGGTCCTCTAAAGGACCAATGTTTACTTTCACTAATCTTTTCCTTTTTATAAATTTATAAAAACATTTGGTATCAGTGTTGACGTTTTCTACTAGTTTACTTACATAGTTCATCTTAGCTCTATTCATTTTGTTTTAGTAACCCTTTGCTGACATTTAAAACTCTCTGAATCCTCCAGATTGCCACTAATGTTTGCAGTATGATATGCCCTAGTTTTCTAGTCTCTGCCTTGATGTTATCCTTGACTTCCTTATTCAGCCAATTCCTCTCTCTCCCAGAAATACACTTTGAGAGGTATTTAGCATCTCTGTTCAACACTGACACAGTGGCAGCAGTATGTATCATCTAGAAGATGCGCTGCTCACCATCACATGCTACAGGTAATTAGGAATGGCCAATAAATGCTGGCCCAGCCAGTAATACCAAGAAACCCTACAGGCAGAGCATTCCAGATAACACCAATTTGTTGTATTGAAATCAAATATTATTTCCCTCAGATTCTTTTGTCAATTAGTTTAATAAGATTTCATGACTTATTTTACTTCCTATGCGTCTCCAACACAAGAACAAACTGGGAGCAAATGTTGAATGAGCTAGATCATGTATCCCTTGTTTTGACATAAAATAAACTGAGCCTACCCCAGTGTGGCTCCATATCCTTTCCCTCTATAGGCTTAATGGGCCAATTGACCTACTCCTGCTCCTGCTGCTTATGACCACACAGTAACCGGTACCTGAGATGGGTTTGTGTTGTTCTTGTTGAAGTCATTCAGTCGTCGGTGAGCTTCCGCCACAGCAACTCGATGTAAAGGGTCCCACTGCTTCTCCCGTCTCTCTTGCTGTTTACAAACAAAGTAGAACAGATTGAGAAAAATAAAAGTCTGAGGAAAATGACAAAATAGGATAATTGCTGCACAATTGATGAATGTTCCTCTTCTGTGTTGCAGACCTCTAAAGTTCTTCAGAGTGGTCGATGCAGGTAGTTACAACATTTAGAAAACATTTGGACAGGTACATGAACAGGAAAGATTTATCATCGAATTGAATCATTGAATCCCTACAGTGTGGAAACAGGCCATTCAACCCAACAAGTCCACAGTGACTATCCACAGAGCATCCTTCCCAGACTCACGCCCCTACTCTATGCCTGTAAACCTGCAATTCCCACGGCTAATCCACCTAACCTATGCATCTTTGGACTTTGGAAGGAAACTGGAGCACCCAGAGGAAAGCCACGTAGGCACGGGGAGAATGTGCAAACTCCACACAGCCTGAGGCTGGAATTGAACCCAGGTCACTGGCATTGTGATGCAGAAGTGCTGATCACTGAGCCACCGTGCCATCCTGAAGGGGCGTTTGGATGTGGGCCAAATGCAGGCAAGTAGGATTAGTTTAGTTTGGGAAACTTGGTAAGCATGGACAGTTGGACCAAAGGGTCTGTTTCCTTGCTATACAACTCTATGACTCTAAAACACATTGTTTGTTCCTGATAGGAAGGGACGCATCCCAGAGAATCCTTTATTAAGATGTACTTTTATAAGTTGCCAATATTGCAATGATCGAACGCATAAAGATAGAAAGTGTGAAACAACGATCTTACTGAAGTAGTCAGATGTGTTTCTACATAGAACAGCACATGCGCGCGCACACACACAAAGAGCGAGGGTGCGCGCGTGCGCACGCGAGACCACGGGAGAGAGCGAAGGAGTGCGCGCGAGAGAGAGACAGGGCACGAGCGAGCCCGCGCGCGAGAGAGAGAGTGAGCCTGCGCACACGCGCAGTAGTCAGAGTGCAAGCCAGAGCGACAGAGCAAGAGGGAGCACATGCGAGAACTGGCAAGTTTAGTGTTTTTTAATTGACAGGTCCTTACCTGAATTCTCTCCTTGAGGGCTGTGGGATACAGTTCAAAGGCATTTTTAATACCAACATGGTACCTAAAAGAAGGGTTATTCCAATCTGATGGTATCTATGTCAAAATACAAAAAGTACACAGATTAGGTAAAATGCAGCTTCTGGCCTCAGTTGACTATACAATGGCAAAGTGCTACACCATTTTTCCACTTTATTCTATTCAACATGAGGATAAAACCCTATTCTCTCTACTAACATCCTTTTTTTAATTATTTGTTCAGAATATGTAACTTCACTGACTGTTCCAGTATTTATTGCCCATCCCTAGCTGTCCTCGAGAAGGTGGTGGTGAGCTGCCTTCTTGAACCGCTATGTTGAAGGTAGATTTACAAAGTCATTAAGGAGGGACTTCTAGGACTTTAACCCAGCAATACTGAAGGAATGGCGATATATTTCCAAGTCAGGATGGTGAGTGGCTTGCTGGGGAATTTGCAGGTGATGATGTTGCCATGTGTCTACTGCCTTTGTCCTTCCATACTGTGGTGATCATGGGTTTGGAAGGTGTTGTCTAAAAATCCTTGGAGAATTTCTGGAGTGCATCTTGTATATAGTACATATTAGTGCTACCGAGCATCTGTGGTGGTGGTGGGAAGGGATGTGGTGCAAATCAAGCGGGCTGCTTTGTCCTGGATGGTTTCAAGATTCTTGCGTGTTGTTGGAGCCGCACCCATCCAGGCAAGTGGGGAGTATTCCATCACACTGGTGGATGGTGGACAGGCTTTCGAGAGTCAGGAGGTGAGTTCCTCACTGCTGTATTCCTAGCCTCTGACCTGTTTTTGTAGCCCCCTTATTTATCTGGCTAGTCCAGTTCAGTTTCTGATCAATGGTGCTGACAGTGGGGGATTCAGTATTAGTGATGTCACTGAATGACCAAGACAGAATGATTAGATTGTCTCTCTCATAGCCACAATATTTATATGGTTAGTCCAGTTCAGTCTGTGGTCAACAGTAGCACCCACGATGTTCATTCTGAGGTATTTAGCGAAGATAATTCCTCTGAACATCAAGGGATAAAGGTTAGATTCTCTCTTTTCAGTAACAGTCTCTGCCTGAACACTTGAGCGGCACAAATATTACTTGCCACTTGCAAGCCGATGCCTGGGTATTGCCCAGGCCTTGCTGCATTTGGACATGGACTGCTTCAGTATTCGGAGGAGTTGCGAATGTTGCTGAACATTTTGCATCAATCAATCAATATCCTCACTTCTGACCTTCTGATGGAAACTTGATCATGGATGAAGCATAGGACCAGGAGTCGGTCATTCAGACCATCAAACCTGCTTTGCCATTCGATAAGATCATGGCTGATCAAGCAGTTTATTCCCTTTTATCCACCCATTCCCCAAATCCCTATCCACCATTGGCAATCAGATATTTATCAATTTCTATTTTAAACATGCTGAAAAACTGAACTTCTACAATCACAGAGCATTTCAAAGGTTCACAGCCCTCTGAAAAAATAAATTCTCCTCATCTTAGAGTTAAGTGGCATTCTTTTTTATTTTTACATTGTGCTCCCTGGTGCTAGACTCCCTCACCAGTGGGACCACCTTACCGATATCCTGTCTATCCGTTTAAGTATTTTGTAAGTTTCAGTGAAATCACCTCTCATTCTTTGAAACTCTCTAGGTGTGCCCATTCTCTCTGCACAGGGCAGTCCCACCGTCCTGGGAACAAGTCCAGTGAACCTTCATTACACTCCCTCCATCTCAACGAGATAAGTAGACCAGAACTGCACACAGTACTCCAGGTGCAGTCATTAATCTCCTTCACTACTAAACTAAGACTTCATGACTCCTGTACTCAAATCTTCTAACAATAAAGGCTGACATTCTATTAGCCTTCCCAATAGCTTGCTGCGTCTGCATTTTAGCCTTCAGTGGCTTTCTGAAAACGACACTTTGTACATCTCGACATTCCTACCTCTTACCATTTAAGAAGTACACTGCCCATCAGTACATTTGCATTTCCTACCAAATTAGATGGTCTCATATTTTTGCAACTACATTCCACGAGCTATGTTCTTGTTCAATCAGTAAATGGCCTAAAATCATCGTGAGCCACGTACATCTTCCTCACAACACACATACCAGTTAGCTTTGTATCATCTACAAATTTAGAAATATTACACTAGGTCCCAAACTTCAAGTTATTGATATATTTAGCGAACAGCTGGGACCCTCAAGTACTCCTCTAGTTACAGCCTGCCAACACAAGGGTGACTTGTATATCCCTATGCTGCTTTCCTTGTTAGCCAATCATCAATCCATGCCATTACATTACCACTCATTCCATGTGCTTTCATTTTTCTAACCAGCCTCTTGTCAGTGACTTCATCAAAAGCTTTCTGAAAATGTAAGTATACTTCATCCATCAGCTCTCCTTTATCAGTTTTGTCAGTGATACCTTCAAAAAAATTCCAACAAGTTCGTCAAACATGATTTTCCATTCCTAAGTCCACACTGAAGATGTCCAATTAGATCTGTATTATCCATGTGCATTTAATTCCATCCTTTATAATAGATTCCACTATTTTCCCGGCTACTAATATAAGGCTAACAGGTCTGTAGTCCCTTGTTTTCTCTCTTCTTAAATACTGGGGTGACACTTACTACCTTCAAATCAGCAAGAACAATTCCAGAACCTAAAGAATTTTGAGAGATAATCACCAATGCATTGACCATCTCTACAGCCATCCCCTTCAACAACTTGGGATGTAGAATATCAGGCGCTGGGCATTCATCAACATTCAGCCCCATTAATTTCTCCAATACGATCTTCTCACTAAGTTCCTTCAATTCCTCATAGTTGTTAGTTACTTGGATCTCTAAATCTGGGAAATTACTTAGATTTTCCTCATTGAAAACAGACACAAAGCAATTGTTTAGCTTCTCTGTCATTTTTCTATTCCCCAATCTGATGATGATTGAGCCGAGGACACTATCTTGAGAAACTCCTGCAGTGATGTTCTAAAGCTGAGATGATAGATCTCCAACAACTACAACCATCTTCCTTTCATCCTCCCTATCACATTGTGTGTAACTTGGACCACAATCAGCAAAACTGCTTTAAGTTGTTTGGATTTATTCAGACCTTCCAGCACTGAGTAACTAACAACCACTTTCTCCCTCTTACGTATGCAGGATTAGCAGATGCCTGAGTCTTGCACCAAATGTACAAGAATTTTGAAATAAGAAATGAGTAAAATCCAAATGCAGTGTTAACGACACATTCTATAACAAAATTAACTGTTTGTTTCATTTTTGTCCAACATTCCCATACTAACTTTGATAACCAATTTTTTAGAATCTCAAACTGCAAAACTTGCTGAGATCAAAAAATATCATTTTGTGAAAGTCATCTGCAGACAGTAAGGATGGGATGTGTGTCATTTTGCATAACATTAATTGTATTACCTGAACTGTAGCTGATGTGAACTTTGGCGATGTGACCTGGATTATGCAGATTACCACAATAGCTAAATTGAACAATTCATATGAATAATTTGTGACATAAACCTAAACCTCAATCTACATTTCTGACAGAACACTGCTTAAAACTACAAGGATCAAAGTCAGTTGATTAGTTTGTTATATGGGTTAAAATGACAACACATCAGAAAACATTAATAATCTGACACCCACACACCCCACTGTGCTGGTTCCATTCTGATTCTGAGTCAAATGAGTGATGACTGCTTTAAGAAACCTCATGCAGGAGTCACAACTATATGCAAATATTATTTAACTGTAGCATGTTGCAATGAGAAATGATCAGTTCTTTGAAATTATTATTTTAACCCATGTTTTGTAATACATTTTAAAAGAAAACCATTTCCAAGAATGGAAAGGAGAGAAGGCCGAGAGATGTCTTGAGTAGGATCAGATCAGGTAGTTGTAGAGAACTAGCCTCTTCTGGGGAAACCGAAACTACAGACCATGAATAAAAGATTTTACTCATGAATCCAATAGAGTTCAGGAGGGGCCTCTTTCCCCAAAGATGTGGGCAGAGGATGGGCTAGGATATGGAGTGGTTGAGACAAATAAGACGATAAAATGTAAGAGCAGAAGCAGGCCATTCAGCCCATCGAGTTAGATCTGCTATTCTGTGAGATCATGGCTAATCTCATAATCCTCAACTTCACTTCCTTGCCTTTTCCTTATAATCCTTAATTCCCTTACTGATTAAAAATCAGTCTATCTCAGCCTTGAACATACTTCATGATCCAGCATTGACAGCCCTCTGTGAAGAATTCCACCAGTTTACTACCCTCAGAGAAGAAGCTACTCCTCATCGCTGCCTTAAATATGCGATCCCTTATTGAGATTATATAGTTCAGTCCTAGAATTTTAGACAAGTGGAAACAACCTTTCTGTATCCATCCCATGACTATCTCTAACTCTTCTAAACTGCAGTGATTACAGGCCCAGTGTACTCAACCACTCTTCCTAAGACTGACTCTGCAAACCCTTGGTCAGCACAGTGAACCTTCCCTGGACTGCCTCCAAAGCCAAATCTTTCATTAGATAGTATAGATTATTTACAGACAGGTAGATAAATGTGTGAGAGAGAAAGAAATAGAAGATTACATTGATTGCGGTTAGAAGCAGCAGGTTGGAAGAACATTCACAGGACTTTAGCAGTAGCACAGCCCAGTTGAGCCAAAGTGTCTATTTCTGTGCTGCACACTAAGTTATTCTACAGCAGACTATGTAAAAATCTGTCATCTTGCAAGAAACGGTTTATTGGCTGGTACATTTTTATTGCTTAAGCAAAAGAAAGTGTTGAACAATTTTATGCCTAAGTTAACAGTATATAAGTGGCCGAGTGATACCTTTAGAGTTCTTCCTGAGAGGCCAACGAGAATGCCATCCTTTGCTTCCAGTACAGTGGAGGTGTCTACATCTCCGCTTCCTGAGACATCAACGAAGTCAACAATCTTTGGTTTCCCATCTGTTGTTATCTAAACAGCACACAAGAGGCAGTCAGCAAATCAGACCGTTCATTCGTGTTCCATGATCTCAACATCTGGGAGCCCAGGTGTGAGTACTTTCATTTCTGGTAGCAACACATACTCAAATAGAAGTATCGTTAACACCAAGAAATGAATACATTTTATAAGACAATATATACTGCCTACTAATTTGAAACAGTCTTGTTTTATTCAGAGACAGTAGGAACTGCCGATGCTGGAGAATCTGAGATAGCAAGGTGTAGAGCTGGATGAACACAGCAGGCCAAGCAGCATCAGAGGAGCAGGAAAGCTGACGTTTCGGGTCGAGACCCTGCTTCAGAAAGGGGGGAGGGGAAGGGGATTCTGAAATAAATAGGGAGATGGGGGAGGCAGATAGAAGATGGATAGAGGAGAGGATAGGTGGAGAGGAGACAGACAGGTCAAAGAGGCGGGGTTGGAGCCAGTAAAGGTGAATGTAGGTGGGGAGTTAGGGAGGGGATAGGTCAGTCCAGGGAGGATGGACAGGTCAAGAAGGCAGGATGAGGTTAGTGGGCAGGAGATGGGGGTGGGGCTTAAGGTGGGAGGAATGGTTAGGGAGGCGGTTTTGAGGTGCGGTCGGGGGAGGGGAGATTTTGAAGCTTGTGAAGTCCACATTGATACCCTTGGGCTGCAGGGTTCCCAAGCGAAATATGAGATGCTGTTCCTGCAGCTTTTGGGTGGCATCATTGTGGCAATGCAGGAGGCCCAGGATGGACATGTTGTCCAAGGAGTGGGAGGGGGAGTTGAAATGGTTCGCGACTGGGAGGTGTAGTTGTTTGTTGCGAACCAAGCGTAGGTATTCTGCAAAGTGATCCCCAAGCCTCCGTTTGTTGCGTACTCCCTGGACCGACCTATCCCCTCCCTACCTCCCCACCTACATTCACCTTTACTGGCTCCATCCCCGCCTCTTTGACCTGTCTCCTCTCCACCTATCTTCTCCTTTATCCACCTTCTATCCGCCTCCCCCTCTCTCCCTATTTATTTCAGAATCCCCTTCCCCTCCCCCATTTCTGAAGCAGGGTCTCGACCTGAAACGTCAGCTTTCCTGCTCCTCTGATGCTGCTTGGCCTGCTGTGTTCATCCAGCTCTACATTTTGTTTTATTCAGATTTGTTTTACCCATTCACATGATTAGGACATCACTGGCTGAGTCTGCATTTATTGCCCATCCTTTAGTACCCTTGAGAATGTGGTGGTGAGAGGCCATCTTGAACTGCTATAATCCACATAAGTGTATACCCACATTGCTGTTAGGAAGGGAGTTCCAGGATCTTGACCTAACAACAAGGAAGAAACAACAATATAATTCCAAGTCAAGAATGGCAAATGGCTTGGAGAGGAACTTTCAGTTGATATAGGTAACACAGCGTGGAGCTAGAAGAACACAGCAGATCAGGCAGCATCAGAGGAGTAGGCAAGTTGACATTTCGAGTCAGGACCCTTCTTCAGCATTTCTAAAGAAGGGTCCCGACCCAAAACGTCAACTTTCCTAGTCCTCTGATGCTGCCTGGCCTGCTGTGTTCCTCCAGCTCCATACTGTGTTATCTCGGACTCCAGCATCGGCAGTTCTTACTACCCCTGAACTTGCAGTTGATGGTGTTCCCTTGTCCTTCTAAGTATCAGAAGTCACCAATTTGGAAGATGCTGCCAAAAGAACTTTGGTGAGTTGGAGCAGTACATCTTGGAGATAGTACACATTGCTGCTGCTGTGCATCTGCAGTGGAGGGAATGAATGTTGAAGGAGGTGGATGGAATGCCATTCAAGCTGACTACTTTGTCCTTGATGGTGGCAAGCTTCTTGGGCATTGTTTAAGCTGCGTCCATCCAGACAATTGGACATACCCCTGCTTTGTGATACTTTGAATGTATGCAGTAGTATCCTGCCACCTTCAATGTGTTATTCATGTCAAATGATTCATTTTTATGCACATCTGCATTCTAAGAATAAAACATATTGCATAAATGCTGTTTATCTATGATATCATTCATAATGAGTCAGAAGTGATATTGTTTTAGCAAAAGTATGTTACAGAAAGCTGAAACACAGACACAGGAGGAATCCACTTAGACCCTTGAGCCTGTTCCTCTGTTCAGATCATTGCTGATGTGGGACCCAACTCTTTAAATCATCCAGAGATAGTAAGAACTGTCGATGCTCCACACTGTTATCTCTTTAAATCATCCCTTGGCCAAGAACCTTTGATACATTTGACTAAAAAGAATGCTATCAATCTCAGATATAAAAACCAACAATTGACCCAGCGTCAATTGCTGTGTTGCAAAACTATTACATGTTAAACGATGATCTTTGAGACTTGAAAAGTCAGAATCTCAAAAACATTACTTACCGAGTCATCTATTACTTTGCTGTAGGAAAGATGTTCTATTCTACAATCATATTATCCTTCTTTCTGAATACACAATGATTAACTACTTTATATCGAAGCAAACAGAATCAGAAAATAAAACACCAAGGAACTGTAGATGCCGGAAATCAGAAACAAAACAAGAAATTGCTGGAGAAACTCAGCAGTTCTGGCAGCATCTGTAGAGAGACAGCAGAGTGACGCTTCTTCAGAACCCTTCTTCAAATAGAATCAGAGTTCCAAATGAACTGGAACTCAAGTAAATTGAAGTCAAATACTCTGGATACAATACCATTACAGAAGCAGATCAGAGTTAATTTTGGTACAGATCCCAAAAGACCTTTTATTTTAAAAAGTAAACACTCAAGAGTGGTGACAAGTGACAATTCTGGAAATAATGTACTGCAAATTATTTTTGCAAGGTATTATTAAAAAAATACAACTTCTTGCAAACCATAATCAAATCTACTTCATTCTGGACTTGGTCGAACCTACAGTCTCCCAAGGAAAGGAAACAAAAATGTTTATACAGCCCAACTCCAAATATTTTTAATGTACAAGTTGTTGGCTTTGGGAAAAGATCGGTGGAGTTTAGAACTGCAGGTGGAGGATAGCATCACTGACATTGAGGTGTTGGATTATATTCTAGTTTTTGTGGAGTGGCTTTGCCACAATGCTTTCTAACTCTTAAAATAAGAACATAAAAGAACTGGGAGCAGGAACCGGCAATTCAGCCCCTTGAACCTTCTCCACCATTTAAATACAATCATGGTTGATCTCACATCAGACTCATTCCACTTTTCTGTCTGTTCTCCACAACCCTTCAACTATTATTAATTGTAAAAAATCCATCTCCTCCTTAAATTCATTCAGTGTCCATTGCACTCTATGGGTGAATTCCAGATTCACAATCCTTTTGAGAAAACTAATTCCTCAAGTCTGTTTATCTTTCAGAATGCCAATGAATGAACGAGAGACACTGATGCTAAGTTTTCACATTTACAATTTCTACTTCCTTTCAAAAAAAACCCACAAATTGTGAATACTCCCAAATCTTTATTAAGCTCAATGGAAACGGAAGCACAGTTCAATCTTATTTCTACCAAAAAAGGTTTTGAAAACCGGACAAATGCCAGGAACTGAAAGTGAAACAATGCAAGCGGCAGATCTGTGTTCTCGAGATCAAGGCAGCATTTGACTCAGTATGGTATCATGGAGCTCAAGCAAAAGTGAAGTCTGTGAGAACAGGAAAGGTTGGGGTGGAGGGGGGGGTACTTTTCACTTCGTTGGAGTCACACCTGGCACAAAGAAACTAAATGTGGCTATTGAAGGTCAGTCATCTCAGCTCCAAGATATCTTTGCAGGAGTTCCTCAGGGTAGTGTCCTAGGCCAACAACCTTCAGCTGCTTTATCAATGACTTTCCTTCCATTGTAAGGTCAGCTTAATAATGTTCACTGTTGGTTGCAGAGTTCAGCACCATCCACGATGCCTCAGATACTGAAGCAGTGTGTGCCAGTGTCCAGCAAGCCTAGAATAACATTCAACCTGAGGGTGATAAGTGATAAGCAACATTCATACCATTCAAGTGCCTGATGATGACGCTGGGGATCAGTTAGCTCAGTTGGCTGGACAGTAGGTTTGTGACACAGAGTGACTCCAATAGCACGTGTTCACATTCCAGCACCAGCTGAGGTCACCATGAAGGTCCTGCCTTTTCTACCTTGCCCGAGACGTGGTGACCCTCAGGCTAGACTCATCATCAGTCATCTCGTCCTGTAGTCCTCAGGCTATGGCAACTTTGCCTTTCTTGACCTACTCCACCATGTGTCCCCAGGAGGCATTTAATATAATCATCATCACCAAATCCCACCTAGGGGCTAATATTCACCCAAAATTTAATTGGAAAAGCCAAATAAATGCTATAGCTATGGAAACAGGTCAGCGGCTCAGAATTCTGCTAAGAGTAACTCACACCACTCCCTGCAAGTTCCCCTCCAGGTCTCACACTACTCTGAATTGGAACTTTATTACCATTCCTTCACTTGTCATTGGGTCAAGGTCCCGGAGGTGTCTTCCTAACAGAATTGTGAGGATAACTACACCCGAGCACTGCAAGATTCAGGTTACGATCCTTTAAAGATATGCAAAAATGATGCTTATACCCTACAAATGTACAAAAATAACCTTAGAAAACAATCTGTGTGCAACATAAGTGTGTGGTGGTGGTAGTTGAGAGAAAGACTACAAAAAAAAACTGAGAGAGAGTTGTTAGTACAATTTTGTGAATAGAGCCACTGTAATCACTTACTCCAGTAAAAGACAAAGAAAGATTTTATTTTTCTTTAATGCCTTTCACAACCTCACGAAATCTCAAAGTATGTTAGAATAATTTAAATTATTTTTGAAGTGCAGTAACTGTTCATACGTAGAACAAGCTGCAGCCAATCTGCACACAGCAAACTCCCACTTAATGACTGATTAATCTACCTTTAGTAAAGATATGCTCTGAAGTGGTGCTCATTCAAGGATAAATATTATTTAATTGATAACAAGTATGATTTTGCTCTTTTTTTATATTACAATAGTGACTACAACTGAAAATAT